ACATGGGGCACACGTATTTGATAATGGGTTCTGAATCTAGCAGTGAAAGGTATAACATGATCCAATGGCTGGAAGTTGAAGCTAGACCAATTCAAACTGGAAATGATGTGTAAACTTTTAACAGCGAGGGTAATTAACCACTGGAATCTATGAATTAGGTTTCACCCCTTCAAATTTTGCAGCTAGTGGTGAATAATGCAAACCCTCTTAAGTGCTGTTTCACATAGTCAATGCATTACACCAATACTCAGATCTGCAGTGTCAACAATTTGATTTCTGCACAAAGATTGAGGTGTTGTTTTGATCGAGAATATAAAGCCTTAAATGATCTGGGTCCCATCTACTTGAGACACTGTTTTTATCTCCATGAGACACCATGATAGTGGTGCTTGAGTTAATAGCTCCTGATTTGATAGGAGCCTGATGGTATGTCTACCCAGCATAGTAAGCCTGGGTCTGTGAGACCTGCGACTGCAGACTCAGTGCACTGGGCTCATCTGTTTGGCCTGCCCTTTTTTTCCCTTTCTTTTTTTCAGGGAGGAGGCAAGTGAGAAGGGCAGTGAATGTAAGAAAGTTTGGAAGTATTTAATGGATACATTATGTATTTTGGTATGTGTTTTTAAATTTCTTTAATGGACCTAAAAACTGTGGCAGGAGCAAAAAGAAAAAAATTAAAATAAGATAAATAAATAGGAAGAAATTAAAAAAAAACAAAAACAAAAAAACAACGGACCAAGCCTAAAAGCAGTGAGACCATGCACAAAACAGGCCAGCATCAGAGGAAGTAACAGCATTTCATCTCTGTGCCACATTGTTCTAATTTCCTTCACATCTGTCTCTTTTCTGGAATATGTGCCTGTGGAGGAGCTGTAGCAGCAGCAATAATAACCACACTGCCAATTAAGGTATTGTACCTGGGGTTGGCCAGGGCTTAGTCTGAGGACAAGATCACCTCCAGGGATGGAGTTGTAGCTCTCCAATTACAAGTACTATCACTACCTTTTCTAACTTGTCAAACAATGAGGAGCTTTTGAAGGCTAAATCCAGCAGTAGCTAGTAGCAGGGTTAGTGCTGAGTGAGTGACACTGATACATTGAGACTGAGAGTCTGACATTGTTTGTCAAGATAAGTTCACAATGAAGATGACTTTCATTTCCAGTCTAAACTATCAGAAAAGAGACCATCTCTAAACTGGATAGCTAAGTGTGTGGCTCTTACGGAGCCTGACGGAAAGGGGTTATCTAGAAATAATGGACAATGCCCATTACTGTTTGGGGTATTTTTAAATTGTTATTAAACTACAGCTTTAGTGGTTCAAAAAAAGAGAAGCTACATTTATACCATTACTTTAATTTACAATTTTTTTCTGGTTATTGACCTGTGGGAAGGGCACATTTTTCCTTTCCCAATGGGTGGACCCACATCCTGTCATACGGGGCTGACTCACTGAATGTTATTTGATTATTCTTTAGGGTAGTTTGACTCTCACTTCACTTCAAATATTGCAGCTGTTTCACAGCATTCCAAGTAGTGAATATCACAAAATGTCAGATAAAAAAAATTATAGGGGCCCAAAATGTTCCTGGAAACGTTGGAGTGTCTCAGCCTCGAGATGTCAATAGATCACAGTGCACTGGGTTCTGTCTGGGAGGAGTGTTCCCTGTCCCGCTGCATGAGCCTAGGGCACTGTCAGAGTCGAAGAACCCTGTTCCTGCTTATCTAGCTCAAGGGCCCTGAGCTAGAACCCAATGGAGTGGGCAGGCCTGGGTTCCCCTACTGACCGCCTGACGGACGTCAGAGTGAAGAAAGGGATTTCAGAGTCCTGAGCACCAGGAATAGACTAATAGCCTTGCTAGGTTATGTCAGCGATCGGGCTGCACCATGCTTGGCCAGAAGGGGTACAGTTGCACTGATGCATCATCTTACAGGGAGCTGACATGAGATTCTTTAGATTTAATTTTCAGAGGCACAGAACACTCACAGCTCTCATTAACTTCAACACATAGGACTTCTGAAAAACAAGAGTGTCAAACTGGGTACACAAAAAACGAGAGAGACACAAAATCAGAGACTCCTTTTTTAAATTTTGATCTATGTGTCTATGCTTTTAGTAATCTCCTTGTTTCATCAAACTCCGGAGATCTGTTCTTATTGGGATGTTTGTAAGCTATAGGAGTTATCTAAGAGCAGCATTATTTTCCAGATAGAGACAGAGGAAGAGAGATGTAGGGTGGGGTGGGGGGAGTTGTGTGCATTTTTGTCTTTCTACTTTTAGACAGTTTATGAATTACATGTATTGTGAGTTTATTGTGCTGTTTGCAGATTCCTTGTACAACTGCATTTTGCTCTTCATAATTTAAGTTATTCATTTTCTCCAACACAGTTGAATCTTTCGTCAAGGGAAGAGAATGCACTTTGCATTTAGTCTTTTTTTCATAAGGACTCCATGAGATTCAAAGTGAAGCCAGTCCTGACTCAAGTGGTACTAGAGTTATGTTGATCTGAATCCCAACAAAGAGAGTGTTTGCAAAGAGACCTGTGACCTAGAGGCACACAGTTTAAAGAATTCTGCTTTCTGCCTTTCTCAGAGTTATTCTGATGTTGGGTAACTTTTCTTTCCAAATGCTATGATATCCTGCCATACAAGATATCCGAAAGCTTGGCATGAAAACAGTCCTTAAAATAAGATAAGATTTCTGGTCCATAAGCTTTCAGAAGATTCATCTGCTCTCAGTTATGCCTAGTTCAGCCCTCCTGCATTCTTTAACTTATTTCTTTCTCAACAGAACACATACACATCCTTGTATGTGTTTTATTTTATAGTTCATTAGATCAGGATGTGTCCCCCACCATCAGCTGCGGCTCTAACAGAAACTTGCATGTCAATATATATTGGAGAAATTGCATAATAAACAAGTAAAAAATACCAAATCAGAGGAGAACAATTTTATAAAATGTTATAATGAAAATCCATATAATTGACTTCTGTATTGCATTTTTACCCATATAGGTTGGCGAAATGAATATCAAAAAGATGTCAAGAGGCTTTGAATTTTCATCTTGAAAATAATAACCTTTATCCCCACCTAACTACAGTACTAGTGTTTACTTAGCAATGCTTCAAAAAGGCAAACTAATGATGTGCTGTGTAAAAGATGCAGTAGGCTGAAGTGTGACTGAACCTCAACAACGCATATAAAAGAATAAAATATTTATATTAACTCAGCTGTGCTTAAGTGCCTTTTAAAGTGTCTTTATAGGATTTATGAGTGTCTGCTGTGTTGTGCAGGTTGGAAAAAAATACCCACTTTTCACTACAGATTGATCATTAATTGAACAGCTTGTTCAATGCAGTTTCTGTAAAATTTGAACTGTTGCCCTGTCCTCTTACATTAAACAGTAAACACTTTTCTCCCCCCAGTCTTCATCACAATGACAAGTAGCCCATCAAGCTGCAGAACTTTAAGTACCTGCTCTTTCTTACAACTGTTCCGAGACTTCTGACCAGGAATGAGCAAGCCCTTAATTGTTTGGCACTGGGTTCAGACATAGGCTTTAAAGGTCAAATTTAATCCAAAGCCACCTTAAATGAGTTTCTCATGAGATTTCTGCATTTTTTTCTTGTTATTAATGAGTTGGACATCTTACTGCTGCAGTTGCTGGATGACAGAAAAGAACAGAATAGCACCGGAGAAAACGGAAGTAGAATCCTCTCAAATCAATCCTTAAACATAAATTCAGAGGAAATTAAAAAAAGGGTTTGAATTTACAGTAAAGCACCTAAAATATAGATGGATTGTTCTTTCCAATATTTTCAACAAGCCTAATTTGAACAGACAAGCTCAGAGACTTCACTGAAGTTTTTTGTGTGCGACAATGTAAGCCAGCTCTTTGGTATGTTTGTTTGATTTTGTTACACTTTAACTTTTCTAAAATGCTTTTAAAAAAAAATTTGCTGCCCTTGTAAAAAAGGACACCATTTTCTCATCTGGGTTTATGTAAGCTGACATTTGCAGTACCATTTCTCTCACTCTTAGCTATTTAGAGGCGCTTGCCCACAGAATCCTTTTGGGAACTGGTTTTCTAGATTCAGGGCTGGTGTTGCTTTCAGGGTGAAACTTTCTAACCTCTTCAAAGAAAAGACTGGTTTGACCCCAGAGCCCTTATTTATAACAACCAGTCACAAGATGATCATCCTACATGACCTATGGAACATGCTATGCACTATTTTTAGATACCATAGAATGTGTTCAAGGGCAAATGACACATTCCATGATTAAGAAAGAATTCCTGCAGGAACATTCAATAGTAGGAGATATAGACACATCAAAATGAGGCACCAGGTTTAATAACCCCTCCCAAATGGTTTAATAACCCTCCCCAAAACTTCTTTTTGTATTAACATTTTTGTTCTGAATAACCCCAAACAATACTAAGTTAAAGGTGAAATAAAATGCTTTTGATTTAAAAAGATATATATAATTTTTGAGATTCTATATCATCCATGCTATAAATGCATAGACATCTACAGAACTACATTTTCATTCGAGCTTTTGATTTTGCACATAAAAATGGGCAAATTAACCCATTATCTGATTTGTACATGCTCACAAAAGAAAGAGGCCCAGCTGAAGCTGACCCCAAAATTTATAAATAAATATCATTTGAAGATGCACTACAGAGGCTTTTTGCCTACCATGTCTGAGTTAAAAAAATCTGTTTCTTCTGAAACAGTGGATGAGAACACGTGTTAACAAGGCAGGATCCAGTGGTCTGAGAACAGGACAAGGGACCAGGAACTGCTAAATTCTAATCCTCTAATGCAGATTTCCCTGGTGGCTTTGGCAAATCATTTAATCTCTCTGCTTCAGTTACCTTAATATTTAGTTAATTATTAGACAGGGCTGCAAAGAGACTTAAAGTGCTTAAAATAGTGAAGCAAACTATTTTCTTTACTCTACTTAAAGTCTTTACCCAGATTTTTAAAGGCATTTAGGCATTGCTGCACTCAGCTTCACAACACCTAACTTATTTAAGAGCCTACAACTAAAGGAGGAGTCTAAATCTCATTGATTGTCATGCCTAAATACCTTTAAAAATCTGGGCCTTAATGATGTCTTCAGTTTCTTGGTAGGTAAACAAAACAGCATCTGATTTTAATGTATATTGTTCTAATGTTTTTATTTGCTATTTTTAGCTGTAAGGAGGGCCCAATTCTGCTCCCTTACTCAAGTTATCTTGCTTTCAGACACTATTCAACTTAAGAATAGGAGAGTGCTTGATTTTGGGTTCTTAAAAAAAGATTACATTTGTTTTTGTTAAACAACATTTCAGTTTACCTTCAGAAAGTATCTTGATGAAAAGAAGTAATGACATATACTTATTTCCTTTGCCAAAAGTAAAGACATGCATTACACGAACTTGTTGCTGGAAATTTTGATTTGTTACAACTTGTCTCAAGAAATCAACCTTGCTTTGCTAACAGTGGAGCCACACTGCATTACGCAACATCACTCTGCAGTGGTATATTTCAGTTTTGCTACAAACCTTGCAATGTTCTTGTTTCACAGTCATTAGACTCATAATGTTTGTAGGTGATTTCTGCTAAACTGGACATCTTAAACTTATATTACAGTCAAATCCTAACCCTTTCAGGTCTCAAGAGTAAACTTGAATACTTTGGCTGCTTTCGTGTCCTTTCTAGATGAGGTATGGCATTGCTTTGTGTGCCACTGCAAATTTTAGTGTCTCAGTATTTCCATTTTAAAAACCTATTTTCAAGGGTTTATAACTCAGTTGTAGAATGTGCTCTAGGCTGAAATTTGGCATTCGAAGTTCCAGTCAAGAAGCTCAAGCACATTCTGTCTCTCATACATATTACACATATACTCATGCATATATATATACATATACATTCAAAATATAACTTGGTATAAAATGCTGTTGTTATTTTTAAGTAAAAAGAGTGCCAAAAACAATAAAAGTTAAGGAAAAAGGGTTGCCACCCTGCTTGTTCACTCTATTCTTCACCTATCTCCAGAGATAATTCTAGTTTTCTGACTGTTATTGGCTACTCTTGCCTCCTTTGTGAACTGTTTCTCTGAAAATGTCCGTACCACCCTGGGGTGCAATCTCAACAGATCTTACAAGGTAAACAAAGTCAGATCTGGTCATAACATGGCCAAAGGAAAACCAAGTGCTATAGCAAGTGGTGTTGATTCATTCTTTCTTCTGAATTGGTGCTTATCTAAGCATGACATCAGTGAGAACAGCACCGCTTTTAAAGACTTAATGCCAAGAGTCTGATTACCTTCAACTATTTTTTGACGAGTCCATGAGATATTTTGTAAGTATAGGACTATTATCCTCAGCGTCAGATTCAAATTTGGATGATTATATTCTGTTCCTCTATATTGTCCTGTGGTATCAATTAGCTATGGTGTTTTTCCTCCTGTCCTGTCCTAAACTGTTGTGTAGTACAGCTGTGCACAGATAAACATTTGGTATAGTTCACGTACAGGTATGGAATGCATTAAATTGTACATTTGTAGCATGGGGGGGGGGGGGTCGTCTCTCTCTGGATGGGCCAGATTTCAAAAAGAGCTGAGCTTCCATGTAGGTCCAAATTTTGAAAAGTGACCAGCAGTTACTATTGTTCTCAATTTGGCCACTTAATTTAGGTGTCTAACTGGAAGCTGAGTTCCTCTGAAAATGTGTCCCAAGTTATAGGTGGTGAGATACAAGATAAATTGTTAGTCTATTATGCGCTACATTTTCCTGAAATAATTTTGCTTAAATCGCACTGGTTAATTAATTCTTAAATTCTTGGTTAATTAATTTTAAATGGCGACACACCTCAGGCTTTTAACTCCCCACCAGTGTCAACTATTTCTTGTATCCTCCTTTTCCAAACTCCTTCCTAATTTTGGAAAGAAAGTGCTGTGATTCATGAATGACTCCACACCTCTAAACCTACTTTTGAATTAGGGCTAGTCTAACATTTAATATGACATTTGGTCACTTAAATTTTAGAAGTCATTCTATATCCAGCTTGGCTTACGTGTGTGGATGTATAAAACATCAGTCATTTCTTACAGAACAATAGCTTTTTGAATTGGCAGCACTTCCCCCACCCAAGAGAAAAAACATTTTAAGTGTATTAACAGAGACTTCTATGTTTCTTCCTTGTCTCATATGCCTTACAGGGTTCTAAATTAACCATATCAACTCAGGAAAGGGACTTGGGTGTTGCAGACAGATCCGTGAAGACATTTGCTCAATATGCAGCTGTGACCAAGATGTTAACAAGATATTAAGGTGCATGAGGAATGGGAAAGAGAATAATACAAATAATATTATAATACAAAATCAGTGGTGGGGCCTTATATGGAATATTGTGTGCAGTACTGTTCATCTCAAAAAAGATACTGCAGAAATACTGGGGATTCAGAGAAGAGTGAGGAGAATGATGAAGCGCTTGGGAAATGGAGAGATTGAAAAGGCAGGGACTATTAAATTTAGAAAGGAGATAAATTAAAGGGGCTATGATAAAAGAATATATAATAATGAATGGTCAAGAGAAAGTAGATCAGGAGCTTCTGTTCTCCTTGTCTCACACAATAAAAAGAGACATTCAATTACATTAAAAGGTGGGAAATTCCAAACCGATAAAGGATCTTTTTCCCCCACATAACATGTAGTTAAACTGTGGAAGTCATTGCCACAGGAATTCACTAAGGCTAAGAACTCAAGATTCAAAAAGGGATTGGATATCTACATGGATATCATGAATATCCAGAGTTGTTAGAATGAGAAATAATAAATTTTTATTGGAATTTAGCAATACATGGAAGGGATATTAAACCTCATGCTTCAGGACTTAAGCTAATGTTTAACCATCAGAGACCAGGTTGAGCCCTAATGTAAGGGGCACACTAGCCCATATCTGCCTTTTGCAGGGTTGTTAAATCTTCTTTAAAAGCCTCCAGTACTGGCTGCTGTCAGAGACAGGATACTGGACTAAATGGACCTCTGGTCTGATCCATTATGGTGATTCCTATATCTAAACTTATTCTCTCTCTAGTTTTAAACAATGGCTTTTAACAAATGTAAGTTTTGTTCACATTATTCAAAGTAGTTTCCTCACATGGGGTAGACAATAGTGCAGACAAAGCAACTGAAGACAGAATAGGGGAACACAATAGGCTGTCACATTCTAAAATGAGAATAAGTCTCAATCCCCCATAGAAATGGAATTTTCAACCGAGGGGAAAAAAACCAAGTGTGTTGCTTCATACAGCTGTACCAGTGAAGAGGAAAATACCTTTTAGGAAGTGCTAAAAATGTCCTGCAGTACCAGCTTCTTTGGAAGATTCCCAGCCATGCCCAGAAGCAGAAGTGCTGGCTATTTCATTGAAGAAATCAGATTTCATGAGATTTCCAGTTTACTTTTGTAGACTCATGAAATAGGGATAAGCACCCAAACTTTTTGAACCGAACCTCAATTCCAAAGGCACACCACTGAAGGAAAGAGAAGACATACCTTTCTCATGTGAAAGGAAAACATATTGGAGAATTTATTCAAGAACAGTTAATCCATATGAAAATAAAAGTCTCGGAAGTTAGCCAAAGCTCTGGGATGATGTGGTGCTGAGTAATTGGTAGTGCAAGTCAAAGCTGCTTAAGAAAACTTAATTAAAAAAAATATTCAGAAGACTTTGTGAAATTTACTAACCTTGGGAAAGATACTCTTTCCTTCTTTCAATTTCTTTGCCACCTATTGGAAGTGCTCACCCACCCCTCATTTCAGATGCTATGCAAGTTTCCTTCAAGAACTAAGGAGGAGACATTCATTAAATTAGAGAGCTAGGCAGTGACACATATTTCTACAAATAATGCAAAAAATCAAGTTACAAGCAGGCTTGTAATGACAGAATAAAGCCTCTAGTTGAAAAGTTGTTCCTGTAAACAACAAGGATGAAATTCACTCTGTGGAGAGGGCCAGCTCAAGACTTATGCACTGTTTAAACATAAAAGTTTAAATGGTGAGCAAACCATTATTTTCCTCATACCAGTACATTCTAACATTTACTTCCTGTCATACACAGTCCTGGAAGAATTCACAGAGAAATTGGCCTTCCACATAGTAAATAAGGGCCCTATTGTGCAAAGTGCTGAGCTGCCGGAGTTCCCATTGACTGCAGTAGAAGTTTGGGCCATTCCACATCCTGCAGGAGTCAGAAAGCATCTCACAGGATTAGTTCCTAAATGCTTAAAACTAAACTTTGCAGGCATTTACCACAAAATTACAGAGTCAGGTGATGATGCAGTAAAATCACAGCCAGAAGATATATTTTGCATGTGAGTCCAGGGAACTGCTAATGAGCCTCACAATTGAACTTGAAGGGAAAAAAATGGTTTATGAAATATTTTTGGAAGCTTCTGTTAGACTATTTTAGAAAGAATCAGAAGTTTTAGCCTTTATATGCCATAAACTCCATTTATCCTTTTACCCCACACAATTCTTACCAACATCTCTCCTTCAGATTTTTAACCCCACATGGCAGTTATGCAACAAAAGGATCACTTTGACTAATTCAAAAGTTATGCCTTAGCCTTAGCAACCATAACTGTGGCTATTATTTGAGAAGTGTATGTAGTTTCAGAGATCTTTTCTCCAGGGAAAAATATGTTTCTCAGTTTGTTTTTAACCACAAACTGGCTGGAGTACTCCATGTTTTCTTTAACTGTGACTTCAGTGAAGCCTGTGTTCTGTCTGCTATGATGTATCTGAGTGCAAACAGCCCACTGTTAGCCATTATGTACCTATTAGCACTGATTACTTTCTGATAGCTCTTCACCAGTTGGTTTCACTCACTTTGACAGATTTGGCGCTTTGTTTAACCTTTAAACTAGTGGGGCAATAACACTGTTGACAGAATTGGAGAAATAATTAAGGAAAACTTAGCCAAGGCATAAGAAAACAACTGTAACAAGGCAGGTCTTTCTGTTAGATTTGAAAAGTTGTCAACTGACACACATTACAATGACCATAGCACAATATAGCATAATTATGGCTATTTCCAGTTTAATCTGCAGGAATCCAGTTTAAAGAGATTATTACTGCTTTA